ATACGTTAACGAGGCCCTCCTCTCTCTCTCTCTCTCCTTCCTTATATACCCGCGCAGTCTCGCGTTTATATATATATAACATTTGAATACAATGTGATGTGCGTTTTATATATATCGTAGTATATATAAGACGACTCGGAGCCGAGCTCTAGCGAAAAACGCCAATGAGCCAATGAGCTGCAGCAGCAGCAAGAGAGCTGAGTATAAGAAGGAGAGAGAGGAGAGCTCTGAAAGTCTCCAAGAGGTGCAAACAAAAGGGACGTGAGCACGTGTGTTAAAGACGATTGATGCGCTCGCACACGACGCGAGCAGCCGTATAGTATAAGCAGCATTGCCATCCTGTGCTCGTCGACGAGCTATATCCTACCCTCTCTCTTTCTTTCTCTCTTGGCTGCACTTTTATATTATTTTATTTCTCTTTCCCCGAAAAACTTGACGATGTCCCCCCTGCAGCAGCAGCAACAGTGATCTCCCTCAAGTTATAACGGCTCCCTCGAGCTTATTGGTGTGTGTGTGAGGTTGTTCGATCAAATTTAACTATATTTCTCAAATAATTCTTACGAATCGGCAAGTTTTAATAAAATTATATTGCACCTCGCATTTATGTAAAATAATACGCAGCAAACAAGTGCCGCGCACCAGGCAGGATTTCAGCATAAACACACATCCAAGGAGTATTATTGCTCGCTGCAGTTGACGAGCTGCACAAAACTTCGTGACGTCTGTAGCAGCAGCAGCAGCAGCAGTTCGTAAAGTTAAGTACGCGCGGCGAATCTGTAATCCTTGCCGGCGATCACTGCCATTATAAACGTGTGTGTACACGTCTCTGTCTCTCTTGCCGCGCCGCACACATGCGAAGATCTGCACTTACATATATATATACAGATGCACGACGTACATGTGCGACGACGCTGTATAACCCATACAGTATATAATATAGTAACGATTCGCTCGTGAGCGGCTCACTTTCGAGCTGGGACTCGCGAAGCTGCCAATTTCACTCTGTATAGCCTAGCTTCCGTGCGCGGCTGCTTCAAAATTAGAATCTCGATGCTCTCTCGCACCCGACGAGCCGAGTCAAGCGACGACGACGACCTGCCGCTACGTATTAAAGAGCATTACACATATATATCTATAGCGGTACACATGCAGCGCTGCAGCAGCAGCGGCAGCAGCAGAGATTTTCGCTCGCAGCGAGATAACGTCGTCAGCGCCTCGATCCGCTCCCGAGATAAGGTTCGATGTGTATACATGTATATATGTGTGCCACACATTTATATATAGCTACTACTGTATGCGTGTGGTTGGCTCGAAGCTTTATTATACGCGACTGACCCACGCTGTGTTATAATACGTAATACTTTTTGGCACATTTGCGTCATGTATACGTATAGCAGATGAATCCACGCGCGCGACGATCGTTGGCACACACGAGAAAGAGAACAGGTGGATTATTGAGCAGTCGAGTTTATAGGATACTTAATACGTATGCGATATTATAAACCGATTGAAAAATTGGCCTCTGCCTCATTGTTTTCACCTCGCGAGTTCATTAACACTCGCCTCGTGGGGTAAGCGCGTAGATTTTTTCTCTCTCTTTTCTTCGTTGACAGCGCGCGCCCAGATCTCGAGGCGAGTTTTTCGTCACTGCTGACGCGATCACTTATATATTATACCTCGGAGCTGGGCTTAAATAATACTCGACCTGTATATATACAGCATAATACCGTGCAAAGCTCGTGGCGATACACACACACACGCGGCACATTCTCTTCCGAGCCGTGGCCGAGGATTATATACGTCTGTAGATACTTATAAAACGTGAGACGGATTCCTTTTGCTCTTTTGCTCCTTTTTTTTTTCTTTGGGGCTGGCTCTGACGGCAAAGCTAGCACCACCAGCAGCACCACGCGGTTGATGGACAGGCCCCGTGTGTTATGTTGCTGCTGTTGCCGTTGTTGTTGCGTGCTGTGCGCCTACGACTCCGCGAATATTTTTAGGAACTTATCCACGCATACCATTTCGACGAGCCAAATGTGTCTTCTCTCTTCTCTCTTTTTTTTTTCTGCGCCTCCTTTTTTGTATATATACATTTGTGCGTTCGAGTTACGTGAATAAATGACGTGTTCGCGCGCGCGCCAGAAGCATTTTTATCGTAATCCCGTTATTCAGCCGGAGCAGCAGCAGCAGCAGCCCATTGTGTCCTCTACCACACACTGCCTATATAGTAGCCCGGGCGGAGACGATCGGCTCCAGAGTTCGCGCGGAATTTCGCTAAAAACTTACAAAAATTTAGCCTAGGTATGGTTCTTCCATTTTTTTTTAGACGCATCGAGCAAAATATATGTAAAAAAAACTATACGAGGATTCATGCGCATAAATTGATATATACGTGCAGGCGGCGCATACATATATACATTTATTCGACCGGCCCGGGCATTATAATGGCCTATATACACAACGGTAGGAAATGTAGCGTAAACATTTTTCGCCTTTAAATTAACGACGAGGCTTGACAAAAGTTATGGCCTGCGAAGAGCGAGAGCAAAAAGAAAAAAATATATATATAAACGAAGGATAAGGAAAAGAACGAAAGAATAACACGTGTACCCGCGGTGTGTGCATGTATATGCAGATATATATATACACGTGCATGATGTACAACAAAGAAAAAGGTGTACATAGACCCCGGCTATACAGTAACGGCTTCGGCGCACGAAGAGGCGTTTATCAGACTTTTATCGAGGCTCGGGCGCGACTTTTGCGCGATTGCGCGCGACAAGAAGGCACGAAGAGCGGAGCAAAAAAAAAAGGAAGAGGAAGCAAAAAATAAAAAGCGAAACGCCGCGAGACACGAGCTAGACGCGAGCGGAATCGCACTCGCAGTTTAGTCGATGCACGCGCACGCGCGGGACAACCTCGAACTTTAGCGCGATTATTACGTAAACGTGTATCGCGATGATAAAGTTCGGATGTATACGAGGGCTCGAGGGTGCGGGGGGAGAGGCCAATTTCCAAGCGTCCACACACTTTCCCAAGATCTCTATTCTCGGGATTTTAATTAACGATTTAGCGAGAATCGTGCGCAGTCTGCAGTCTGCAGTTCTCTGCTGTATATACACATATATAAATATAAACCGTATACCGCATCCCCGAATCGCAGCAGTCTACCACTCGTTGTCTTCGAGACGCGTTTCGATCTCGCTAATAGATAAAAAGGAGCCACACATGCAATAATTGTCGTTGTCGTCGTAGTCGGTCCTATTCGCGGAAGCTGCTGCACCTTGTCCTTCCCCCCTCTCCCTTGCGCACTATCCGCTAGTATATATATATGTGGTATATACAGAGTACATCGTCGATGAAAAGCTTGTCTCACATCGACTAATTAGACGATTAATTGATTTTACCTGCTCTCGCCGGTGCTCTCGGCGGCGGCCCCTATAGCCGACGAGAATGAGAGAGAAAAAGGCCTTATCCGGAGTATCTAATTGCTCCTCCCCGCCTTACTTCGGTTGATCGTGTTTTTTTTTGTGTGTCTCATTTTCTCGGATTTCCCTCCTCTCTCTCTCTATCTATCTCTTATAGCTTGCCCCCCTCCCACCGCTACTCCCACGCCCGAAACGAAACGAAAACAAACAAAAAAATCAAAGAGCCACCCATAGACGCAGTCCGGAAAAGTATACGATGATAATATTAGGACACACACGTACACGCGTTACAAAACGGAGCCGGAAACTTTTGATGCGCGTCGACTCGCTTTGGAAACGAAATAGGCTGTACTCCACAAGGCCGTAATACATGTATTACACATAGGCGCCTCCCAGGTTGTCGCGCGCGCACTTATATTGGGTGTATACAGTTTCGGGCATGTGTGTAATGAATATACGAGGCATGTGACGTAGAAATCGAGAGTACATAAGAGAGAGGGGCACGGGGGGCATACCCAATAATGACACACAGAAGCACACACATCTCGTGCATGATTTTGACGAAGGCACTTGAGCGTGCGATGCTGCTGCGTCGTCAAAAGTTCGTCCGAGCGAAATATCGCATGGCTCATCGGGAGCCGAGTGTTTGTTATACCTCTACGCACAACGTCATTGTCGTGTAGTATATATGCAGAGCTGCTGCTGCTGCTGCTGCAGCAGAGGAGGAGTGGCAAAGAGAGAGAGAGAGAGAGAGAGAGTATCGTTTACCCCGCAGGAACAGAACGACAATCTGTCTCTTTCTCGGGCCGACCAAGAGTGCACATTATATACCTAGAGAGCAAAAGCAGCAGCAGCATCTCTCCTCCTCCTGCTGTCGGAATAACTCGCTCGATTGATCTGTTCTCGTCTTTCGTACAATGTCAGCAGACTACGTATACCGTAATTCGCTCTTCTCGAGGCGTATATATACCTTTTGAAATTTCGACTGCAGGACTGCTAGTAAGCATCTATCCGGTACTTCGTGCCGACAGCTGGACCTCCCGAGCTCGTGCGCACGTGATATATTACGCATTAATTACAACGACAACGAGAGTAAGTGAGATAAGTACACGTAAGACAGAAAACAGTCACCGGCTCCTGATCGTTACACCGATTCGCGCGCAAATCTAGCGTGAAAAAAGAAACAGACACTCGACTATCTTGCATACTCCAGAAGATAAGGACTCGTGTGTGTGTCTTCCGTGTGACAAAGCCCGGGCCGCCTTGTAACTTCCTGTGTCACACGTCGTTTGGCACGCCTGGCGTCACCGTCACCGTCACCGCCGCCGGAGTAGCAGCAGCAGCAGATGAAGTTCGATTAATTGCATATATAGAGATCGAGACCCTTCGGTCGAGTGTTTTCGTGTCTTTCTCTCTCGTCGAGTGAGAGTATATCGATCGTCGTCGGCGAATATTGTGGGAAAATTCACGTGTGTGCGGGGGTGGTGGTGGTGGTGGTGGACACGCGCACGTGAAAACACGATACATGGGACGGGAATTTATACAATTTTTCTTTTTTTCCTTGGTACTTACGTTGTGGAGTTTGTAGTAGAGTCCGCAGGCGTTGCAGACCGGCTCGCCGGCGGCGTTTCGTCGCCACAGCGTCGTCGTGGCGGTTTTGCAATTGGCGCAGCTGGTACCGGCGCGCCTGGCCGCGCTCTGCAGCGACTGCAACAACAACAATAAACAGAGAACAAATTAGTCAACATTGTTGAATCGTATCAATTATTACATTAATTCCAAGCCCGATTAATCAATCCGATCCCGCTGCTGACGATCATCGACTTAACTTTTTTTTTGACGTATTACAATTTCGACGAGTATTATAGCGTAAGGATTATTATAACGGGGTACAAGCAATACAGTTCATCATCGTTTCGTCGAAAAATTGACGTAAATAAAAATACCTTGAGTGGTGCGCTGTCAAGACACTCCGAGTTGATTGACTTAATTATTACGGATGAGGTTTTTAAAGAGCCCCGATCATCGACGAAACTTTTTTGGAGTAAAACCGCGCGCTAGACTTTCAAACGGCACTTAAAACACCCGAGACAATGGGTGCACTTCAGAAGTCTAATTCAATTGTCCGATCGACTTTTCATTATCTCCTAGTTTTTCTTGTTTACATAATATATATTTTTATGATTTATCGGTTATTAAATGGATTGATCACAATTACGCAAGACAAAACGTTGAAGCATTCGTGCACAAAAGGCACATTGTAGTCACGAAAAGTGTGTCTTTTCATATACTCGTACAATTGTGTTTATGTGTGTGTGTGGCTCTTATGGGGGCCATTGTCGCAACGCCGCACATATCTATAAAAGCCGCTTATGATTTATAGGCGTCCAATGGCCTGACAAATGACGTCGCGCGTGGGCCAAAGGAGAGTAGTAGCAGCAGTATATATAGGAAATACATAATGTAATATGAAGAACCGAGTAGCAAAGGAACGGAAGAAAAGGGCCCCACTTATAATTCTTTTGGGCGTGAGTAGCCGTATCTCTCTCTCTCTCTCTTTTTGTCGAATGCTCTCTCGGCTCCTGACACCTGTGCGTTTTCTGCATGTTGCTCTACTACTCCGTCTTTTGCTCATTCATCACTCTGCGCAATATCATTCACCTCTTTCGTTCAATGGGCAATAACACTTAAGCAAAAAGCTTTATTATAGCAGCAGCAGCAGCAGCAGCAGCCGAGAGAGAGATGCGTAAGAAAATATATCGAGAAGAGAAACGGAGTAGAGAAGAAGAAGAAGAAGAAGTTTTACAAGCGTGTATAATACGCGCGTCCGATGTGTCTTTCTTCGTTCGACACATCTCACGACCGATGCGTATTGTAGAGTATATAGAGGTACTTATGATGCCGAGCAGTAGTGACATCGAGAGAGTGGCGAGTCTCTTTTAAAACATCCTCTCAGCCTAATTTTCACGATACACGCGCGTACAACAGAGTTTTGGGCCAGATACGTATTCGACGTTGTCGCTTTTACTTTTTTTTCCATTTTTTTTTTATTAAATTTTCTATACACCTCTCTCGTGGGCCCGTTAAAAGGTATATATAGCCCCCCGCGCTTGTGTATATATATATACGAGTGTGTGCGCGCGAGCCTTTACAGAAAAAGAGAGCGAGAGAAGAAGTGTATAGGTATGCATTTTTCCAGGGTCCATTGTTCGACGAGACTCAGGTATTTCTTTTGTTAACCCCCGGCGCAGCTCTCCACTAATGCCGAAGATATTTTTTCTTCTTCTTCTTCGATATAGTCGGGCTTATGTACGGTCGACCGAATAAAAACCAAGCGCGCAGAGCGAGAGCCTATATAATACGGTCGAGGTGTCGAGTAGAGAGAGAGAGAAATGCCCGCGCGTGATCGAGTGCGAGCTAAGTAAGGCACCGGCGCCCCGGCATTAGCAATTCTCCTTTTTATAAATACATCAATTATCGTTACTCGAGAGCTCGATCTTGTATACGTTAGCAGCGGCGGCGGCAGGTAGCAGCCGTTTCAGGTGATTTAATTTTCTTCTCTCTCTCTGCGGGAGATCGTCATGCGTCTCTCCAGCTTTTCCAGGTATGCGCACCTATGTGCTACACATGAATATGTAACATAACGCACCTGTAATTAACCTATGCACGTACGAGAAATTCCTATATTATTGAAATGAGCTCTCTCGCATCTCGTTTGACTTGGAAACAGCCGCCGCCTCCCCATACATTATCGTATTAGCGCGCGCTCGATTGATCCGAAAAAATGAAATTATGTATATACGACATCGATGCTCCTGTATATACTATAACACAACGACGTGGCCTTATCTACGAATTAACACGCGTGCACGAAAAATTGTGGGAGAGAGTGACGAACACAGGCTACCGTGTGTATACGTTATAAATATATATTTCGGTGTATACGTCGAATATATGGAAAGTGTGTACGATGGCGAGGGGGTTTGCGGGGGGTTGCGGCTTCGAAGGCCTATAACACATACACACACACAGGAGCTGGCTTAAAAAAAATTGTCAAAGCTCGCACGAGAGGTAAATTAATAAGGCCTGCTGCTGGTGCTGCTGGTATTGCTGGCGCGACGTTGGCATTGCGGGCGTGTTGCGGCTGGCAAAGCGTGTCTTATCGGCGACATCTTATCGCTCTCTCTCTCTCTCTCTTTCTCTCTCACCCTTGTGTGTACCTTCGACTTTGGAGGGTAGTTGTGTGTGTGCTGGGAAAAGGGAGGGAGGGGGTGGGAGTCGCGGCTCGAATCGATAACTCGACTGCCGCGCGGCGATGGCAGTGCCTAGTGGTGTTGGTGGTGGTGGTGGTGGTGGTGGTGGTGGCCACGCGCTCGACGTCGGCCCGCCTTATCGCTCGTTCCAGATCTCTCTCTCTCTCTCTCACGCGCGAGTTTCTCGCAGAAAATGCTTCCTCCCTTGCGAGCACAACTAGTCCGAGCAATTTTCTATGAAAAAAAAAGGGAAAAAACCAACACACACGTACGTACGTACGTACACAAAGAGAATATTGGCCCTCGCGTCGACGAGTCACGATTGCTCGTACTACTATACCTTTATAACACAGAACGAGTGTGTGTGTATACGAGTCTCTCACTCTCGAGGAGAGGCCGACGCCGACGACGACGAGGAGGCCTGGAAAACCTTGAAGTCTCCGAATCGATCAGAAAGTTTATTTCTACTCGAGCGAGAAACGTGTCATGAAATAACGACGATTCATCAAATGAGAAATATATAATATAATAATAAAATAATCCTTAAGTCGTTGCTCGCGCGCGCGCGAAATATACATATATACGAGGCTCTCTCTTCGGCATTCCTGGCTCGTCAGGGAATAATATCACACACACACACACACACACACACACACACACACACACACACACATACGCCGAAGAACCGGTCCTTAAGGCAGTGCAGTGTAGAGTACTAACGTCGCGGGGCTATATACAGTCGCGCAGTAACTGCTGCTGCACTACCACTGACGGATACGACATCTCTTGCGGGTTCTCACACTGCCCCCGCTGCGTGTGACTGCTGCTGCTGCACCGGGTATACGATCGTACGTGTGCATCGTGCGCGCGCCCCTATAACACAGACACACAGACAGACACACGAGTTCCTTACTTATACTCCTTCGTCGCGTTTATATGTATTTCGTCGTCGTTCGCTACTCCTTTTCTCGGTATCGGATCGTTTCTTAACTCTCTCTCTCTCTCTCTCTTCTGCCTTGCACTGCAGCAGCAGCAGCATCTCTCTGGGCCCTTTATATTAATTTCTCGCTCTCTCTCTCGCGTACTACTGCTGACTCGAGCCGCGCGTGGATTACCATCGTACAAGTACACGTGCGATGTGCGCAGTCCTATACGCGGTGTATATATAATACGTGCACCGGCGTATATATTAGTCGCGCGCGTGGGACACGACTTCTCCCGCAGCAGCAGCAGCAGCAACGATCCGCGAATATAAATAATTATCGCGCGTACGGCTGCGAAGATTAATGTCCGTACGTGTGTGTGTGCGGCCAATTTGGGGCCTGTCTCGTTACGCTTATTTTTTCTTACAGCGATTGCGCGAATCAAGCGTCAATCAAAAATCATCATCGGTATATATACACCTTTTTGCCTCGATACAGAGATCATCGATTATATGTATTTGGCCACCCGGTACACGCAATTACGGTAACACTGTTATATTCGCCGAGACGATCGTCGCCCCGGTCGATCATGTATCGGCTATTACGCGCGACGTCTCTCGGACAAGTCCTCTCCTCCTGCCGCAGCGCGCGGCTAATTAGCATTGAAATTCGTTCAAGGTTAATGTACTTGTATAACATAAATATATCGTGAATTATGTATATACGCGACAGCGCGATCCGGTTCGCGCAGCCGCTGTCTATGCTTTAACCGATGTTTAAATTTATTAAATTATGGAATTAAACGTTCGCGTTATAATATATAGACGGAGGAAGTTGAGTTTCCGAATTGTGCGTGTTAGCTAGCTTTCCCGGGGCCCGGCCGTTTCGTCATGATTTTAAATTCTTTTGCGCCATCTCGGATGTTGGCTAAAAAATTATTGCCCATTAGATTTTGTTTGGCCGCAACTCTGGTATGACTCAATTCGTGTGATACGTTTTATCTCGCGATTGCTTTGTTGACTCGAGCCGATAATGCGGTACGTAAACGAAACATACAGTGGATTCGATTTATAAGTGGAAAGAGAGACAAAAAATGTAATGAGAGTTCGATTATTAAAACACGAGTTTGGAGACGATTAAAGGAGTATATATATACAGTACAGCAGTATACTTTGTGTGTCTTTGTAAGTGGATTTTCGTAACTCGAACTATCGCAGACGAGCAGAAGCAATATTTGCCTGCTATTTGATTACGCCACAAAAGCCACGATTGAGTCGCGCGCGCGACGTGTACGGTGTGATAAATACAATCTCTGCTCGATTCCGTCGAAGAATCAGACGCGGAGGTCGCGCGCGTGCACCCGACATTACGTTGCGCCGCAGCCGCTGCTGCTGCCCTTTCGTTTTGCTTTTCTTCTTATTTTATACTACGTACACATCGACACACACACAGAATATGCAAGTACGCGTATGTCTGTGTGTGTGTGTGTGTGTGACACTGTGTATATGCAGCTCGAGCGCAGAGATTTCTC